GGTCTGGTGAAATTGCTCAGTTGCATGGTGTCTGACCAGAAAGTTCAGGTAATCATTGAACAGAACTGTGCATAAGTGGCGAGTTAATTCATACTCGAGTATGGAAGAGTTTTTAAAATGCTTGTTCTGGACTCTGGAGTGTTATTATTAGCTAACAGGATCAAGATTTATAATTTATCCTTCAATGAATATAACTTTCTACATATAGCACATCGTTTGCAAAGTAAATAATTACAATTATTTAGAGATAAAACTTTTTTCCGTATTGAAATACAGTTATATCAACACTCGTGGAAATTGGTAAAACTCGAAATTGTGTGAAAACACTCCATCCTTCGGGCGTCGTGTTTCCACACAATTTCTCGTTTTCCCAATTTCCACTCGTGTTGATATAAACTGTATATCAACACGGAAAATTCGAAAATCTCAAGATGGAACAAAGTATATAAGAAATACTCAAACTGATGATACAATTTGATTTATTAGGCAAATTTCATTTGATAATCTTGCGCTCTTGTCGTTGACACTTAATTGTTCTTTCACCTTTGCATTTATTTTATCAATTAGTGAAGGTTAATAATGTTATACATAGTCACATTTCCGCCTTATTCTTCTTCTTTGTGACCGCCTGTACACTTTGGGCAGTCTAATTGACTAAATCCGGATTTAACGACCCCGTGTTAACAGCCGTGAACAGCATCTAACTAGCGGTCTCAGCATGAGGCCAAGATGTTAATGTACTAATTCATATCGGTAACAGTGCTTTTATTTACCATTTCATAGCGTTTTAGAAAGAGATTTAATCTATTATTTTATATCTATACTCTAGTGTTCCCTCATCAAACGATTGCCGCATTCCCATAATATACTTATAGTAAACACAACCAAACTACAAATTCTACTAAAAATTGTGATATTATTTATCGAAATCTATCGAGTCATCTTCATAGAAATCGTTTAGACTGGAATTTAAAGTAAGTTACTACAACCGATAAGGCAACGTTAATAGTAAGTGACGTAATTGTTCCTTTTAACTATAATAGACAATACCAAAGTTGATGACCTGACGGTGCCAAAACCTTTCAGTATTACATTTTTGGTTATAGAGATATTCTGTAGCACATGCATATACAAAATGTAATGTAATTACCTACAACATGTCACATGCATGCATGCAGTAGCCATATATCTGATATATCAATACGGTCGTAGAGCCAACCATCTTTTGGACAGTCATCTTGAAGGGTGGATGGCTTCTTCCAAAACACGGCTTTTTGACGGCTGATTATCATACTATCACCAAAACTTGTAAAACTTGTACATTGTACATACTGACGGTCATACAAAATACGCCTCTATATACATGTTTTCTCCAATTTTCTTCAAATAGCGGAATGTGAATCAGTATAAAACGGTATAATTCTTGACTTATAATCATCAAGAATATAACGTACACAATGACGAGGCAACCCTATTATATACAACAACTGGTCGAGTTCCAGATCTTGTTAAGACACACGTCATTATCACGTAGAATCATTTCAACGAGGAATACAGATGAGACGTTTCTGAAGTAGCCTGTGTAGTGTTTTTATTCAGAATATTTAGTTTTTAGTTTTATACTGGGCATTGCTATATTATATACGTTCTAAAGATATATGCAAAATCCTTAAAATATTTCTATAGCTAAATTTAAACATGAACTTGAGGCAGACGGCGATTCAGACTTTCATTACGTATTAATGGTAAACCTGTGGTGATCGGTAATAAAATATTTAACATGTGGAGTCAATAATTTGTTCTTATTTGCAAGCATTTCAAAATAATTTAAAGCCTATAAAATAATAATTAAACTGATTGGAAGTGATCAATAATTGATATATAAGCGTGTGATGCAGCATATATATTCTGATTTTTAGCAAAGATCCTGTAACAACCTCCATTTTCCCAAAGCCAACACGAACTGGGACAAACACCGACCTATAATCTATATACTGATTTTCAAACGACGTCAACAATTTGAAGAAATTTGTATAGGAAATAACTCATAGGAAATAATTCTCGGAAAAAGAAATTCGCCCTCAAAAAAGCGTTGGTAATGCACACGAGGAACTGTACTGCATCACTGAAAATTATAGTGATGGGCGTCAGGTTTGGGCAAGTACAGAATCTGAAGAATTATTTATAAAATTACAAATGAATACAAAATTTATGCTACTGGGAGTACATGTACTCATAAAGTCCAATAGATTTTGTTTTAACAGAACACTATAAGGTTTATTATTTGGCAAAGCCGGTTTTGATTCGATCCATAAGCCCGGATCTTCACCATGCTGTGTAAATAAATAAATAAATAAATAAATAAACGACGTAGCTACGCCATGTAAACCACAAGAAATAAAAAAAAGATTACTCTTAGTTCAAATATTTTATTACAGGACCAAACAGGAGTGTTCTAAATTCGTCAATCCCGTGCATGGTCAGTCGCAATCCAGCCTCGTCCCCAGGCGCTTTGATTTACATACATACATACATTTGCTGCGCCGTTTCGTGACCCGTCCATTGCCTTGCGTCGCGCCACGAACCAGCGCGTCTGAGTTGGAGCCTGGGGACGAGGCTGGTCGCGATCGAATTAGACACAATAGACCTTATGTATAATGACGTCACAAAGCTTGATGCCCGCGAGGAATGCTGGTCTTAGCAGTCATCGCCCGGGAAAATTAAACAATTAAAAATGGCCACCATCGAAATTTTCCCGGGCGATGACTACTAAGGCCAGCATTCCTCGCGGGCATCAAGCCTTGTGACGTCATCATGCATAAGGTCTATTAAAAAAATCTGGACGAACTGGATTGAATTGGCCCATATACAATATTTATTCTAAAATCAATGGCACATTGTTAGACTTACCATTCACTGTTAAGTTCAGTTTTCCTATCAAAGTTTGCACCAACGCGATCGGGATTTTTACCACGTTTTTTCGACCTCTCAACTACAAAACACGTGAACGGATTGAATAATATATATATATATATATATATTTAAACTTCAAGCAGTCAATACACATCTTGGCGACTATATATATATATATATATATATATATATATATATATATATATATATATATATATATATATATATATATATATATATATATATATAT